TTTCACTTCCTTGACGAGATTCAAGACCGAAGTTTTACACCACGGGAGCGAATCTCGAAGCGAATTTGTACTTAAATAAACAGCTGTCAGAATCCTCCTTACAGAAGCACTGTTGCCAGATATATCAGATCAATTTTTATTTGGCCACTCTTACACTTCAAATACATAAAGGCACAAATCAGGGCACAATGCGGCACACTGTAAACAGCATTAATACAAAAGCAGCAGTGACGAGCGAGGGGTGCGACACATCTAAATCTCGATTTTAAATGGTTGAAAAATCTCTCTCTAGCGAATCAATCTACGAAAAATCTTTTTTTCATTTTTTGCATCTAAACCCATCTACTCGCTTCGTTCTCCACCTTTTTGCAGGAAATCTTCAAAATCACAATCAATCGTGTTTCTATCTATTAAGCGCGAGTGCATCTCACAACAGCAAAGCAAAAAATTACCTGCATCTTAGATAGAGTCGCCCCCCTCGGTGACGAGTGAGTTGTTTAATCTGCTGATTAATACACCGACTGAAGAATAAATAGAAAATAATAGAGGAAATGACGACTTCGGCATGATAGACTATTTTCGGCAACCTAAATTGAAAACCTAATTTCACTGGATTTTCTTACGGAAAACACTTCGCTGAATGCAATCTAACGATTCTTTAGGCTTTCAGATTCAATTTGATTGTATTTTTACCACTGAGAAAAAGCAATCTAGCAGGGTTTTCTTGAAATGAAACGCACGCACTACAAAATGCTGCTGATTTCGAGTTGCCGATGAAAGCACAATTTGTTTAACACGCAGCTCAACCGGAAAGGTTGCCGAATAAAAAGATGTTGCCCACAATAGTCGCTCTCACTAGAGAATATTGGAGCTTTGTAGAAGCGTTTCAAAACAGTTTTTGACAATTCTTTCGACTGAAATTGTTAGAGCAGCTAGCAGCAAAAGACTGTAAACAAACCAATACTGCATATGTGCGCGTTCCTTAGAGAAAAAGGCTATAGAAAGATGGTCACTGCTTAGGTTGCCGAGAATACATAAATTCCCCTAGTTTTTTAGACGCAATTTCAAAAATGTATTCTGTTTGACACATTATTTCGGACTTATCACCGCTGTGATTGCAGCGCCACGGAAGGGTCGAACACGAAATTATTGCAACACTTGCAACTGGCTGTATCTTTATTCAGACCCCCTTTACTCTTTGGAATTTATAGAGACAGATAACAGCGCCAAACGGTTTGTGACGAGACAACGTTGAGCTGCTGCGTTGGAAGAAAACACGCACACCATCATCTATACATGTACCGAGGGGGCGACACATCTAAATCTCAATTCTAGATGCTCAAAAAATCTCACACTAGCGAATAAATCTTCGAAAAATCTTCTTTCATTTCTCGCATCTACTTGCATCGTGCATCATCTTTTTGCAGGAAATCTTCAAAATCGTGATAAATCTTCTTTCTATCTACTCAGCGTACGCGCAGCTAGCCACAGCAAAACACAATATTTCCTGCATCGTAGATAGAGTCGTCCCCCTCGACATGTACGAACCCACACAACTGACCGGAGGGTACAGCGCAAATCAAAACACGAAGCGTGTTTGCGTTTGCTTTCACCGGCGTTGTCAAATACTTCCTACGTTAAAAAATAGGAAAGTAATGTTTATTCCAACGTAATTTTTGAATGGAATGCGTGCTGCGTTGGCCAAAGAAGACGGCATATTTTATTACGTTTAGCAATGATTTAGATACGTTGCATTCTAGTGGTAGTGGAATAATTCTTTAGAGGGAAGGGGTTTTTTCCCATGTTTACTGCTATGCTTATTAAGATTATGTTGAACAAGAGCGCCGCAAATCATCAATTACTATTAGAGATTTGAATCTTACTGATACCGGTTGGAAACTCTTTCGCTTGAAAGCATATTAAAAGCACATCATGTTGCGCGCTGTGTTTCTGTTGCGTATAAAGTGGTAATGATTGAAAATCGAAGCAATCACAAACAAGTAAGAATCTTGCTATCGCAATATAATGATGATGACTTCGAGGATGATATCGTCCTCTTCCCTCGGCTGATCATCAACGTCCGCGTTGACATCTGTCGGTTGGCGGTTAATCTCCCAACAGTTTCAATGTGCACTCAACAGATAGCACTGCGATCACATAAGGGTGGTGCCTATATGCCTTGTATGAGGAATTGATTAGTGGGATATCTTGTGAATTAGATATCTTTGCTTTATTCCTACTATACGGAAATTAACCAAACTTTGCATAGTTTCTCTTTGAAGTGTATTATTTACTTCCTGTCTGTTTCGATGCGGCTAAGATGGAAGTGAGTCAAGTGAAGATGCGTGAAAAAATGTTGTACGCTCACATGGATAATCCGGAGTTGTCCGGATTTAGGAAAAATACTGCATATCAATAATTCAACCGTATCAAGAATTATAAACAAGTTCAAGGACCGGTTGACATTGGATCATAAACACGGAGCAAAAAAGAAAACCGGGAGCAGCATGCAGGAAGACGGAGGGAAAGGTGTTGGGTAATTTCACCTGAAATCCCCAGATTTCAACACGTGATGTTGTCAAAAAGGTCGGTGTTTCGCAAAGTTACGTGCAGAAAATCAAAGCAAGAGCTGTATTACATGCATTCAAGGTTCAAAACTTCCCAAGCCGCGATGAACGCTAGCAAACTGTTGCCAAAACCCATGCAAGGAAGCTCTACTCAGAAATGTTGACCAGATACAGTTGCTGTGTGATGGATGATGAAACAAACGTCAAAGCTGACTTCCAACAAATACCAGGACAGGAGTTTTACACCGGAAAAGATAAGTTCCAAGTGGATAATCGTTTCAAGAAAAAGAAAATGTCGAAATTTGCATCAAAATACCTTATTCACAAAGGGCACCCATCAATGGTCAAATTTGCAAAAATAAATGCCTCCAAATGCTGCCATTTTTGAAGCAGCTCAGTGAAAAACCAGCTTCATGTCACTATTCTAAAAGCGTGCTGCAATTGTGTGAGGCTAATTCGATGCATTTTGTCCCCAAGGATATGAATCCACCGAATTGTCCAGAACTACGCCCAATCGAAACCTATTGGGCCATGATGTAGCGGGAACTCAGAAAGACCAAGGAGAAAGTAAAGGATGCAAATGACATGCGGAGGAAATGGATAAAAATGAGGAAAAGGTACCGGATACTACTGTTTAAGCTCTTATGGATGGCGTGAAGCAAAAGTGTCGGGAATTTTACCATACAACCACCCCCCAAAAATTGATCCAATATATGTATACTGAGCTAAATACATGTATAGAACCACCCTACAATTTTGGTTTTTATCTGATAACTACGTGAAATTTTAGAGCAAATTAATTTCTCTACGTAATTATATTTCAAATACTCTTAGAATATTCCTTATAATACTCTTGCAGTTCATCTCTGAATTGTGTTATGATTCCTATCATTTATTTATCTAGGAATGCTCGTCAGTAGCCGATTTCGGATTTTGCAGAACATTTCTTAGAAAACGGAGATGAATTTTATTCCATTCCCTTCCCAAAATGCCCATTATTTCAGCTCAGAACTCTTTTGGCGTTCTTCTCAAAATATCTATGATTATCCTTAGGATTCTTCATAGATTTTCCTTGCAATTCTGTTCGGAGTTGCTTAGAATTCCCTTTAAACTATTTCGATAATTACCTGCTCAGAACTCTTTCTGTGAGCTACACACAATTTGTTTGGAAATATAGTCAGAATTCTCTTTGGATTGTCCCAAGAATTGCTTCGATTTTCGTTTGTGTGTGGATACAATCCATCTCCCAATGGCTGGCAGTGAAAAGTTTAGTTTTAGAGAAAAAGCAAATAGAAGCGCGGACATTGCTTAGATTGACGAGAATACGTATACAGATAAGATTATGATTCTAACGAAAAAATTGACTTGCTTACCTTTGAAAAATCACAGAGTTAGGTGCCAGCAGCAATATTTAGGTGCCAGCAGCCCAGTAAAAAAAAAACTGGCAGACTGTATTTTTTGGGATTTTTCTCCGCAATACATTAGCTTTAGCTAAGTCTTATGTTCAATATTCTCAGTTACAATGTTAAAACAGCATCAAAAGTGATCGTAAATGATTTGTCTTTTCTCTTGTTGTAGGTTCAGCTACGCATACATTTGCCTTTTTAGTTCATGCTTGTTTGTAATCATCGTAGATGCGGCTCTATTTTCTTAGTTTTGTTTTTTTGTTTTCATTATGTTTTATAAGCTGTATTTCGTTTATTCTTAGTTGAACATCTATCCAAATATATACCATTGTCTTAGTGTTAAGTTTTCAATTTATCAACCAAATTTCGTTCTCTTTCCGTTTGTTATCCTTTTCTCAAAACAACTACAATCATTGAACACACTTTAGTTTATCTAAAGAGTGGCAAGCATTTGTCCACGGGGATGTAAGTAACGGTGGTGTGATTTTTGAACTTCCCCTTTGTCGAAATTCCTCTGCATACACATTCCTCTAGAACTAGCTGCAATCAAAATGACTAGGTACATAGGTAACAAATTAGCATTTCCTGAATTTCCACAATTTCAGTAGTTGAATTGGTTCTTAGAAACTCTTCAGTTCATTAACCATGCAAACAACCTCACATTTATTTTTAATCACTATTCAGAAAAACGCCTGCCAATTATCTAACACAAAGGACAAAGGATGCAAAGATCCTCAACTCACCGTTAGTTTTGAATCATACCGATGGAAGACTCCACTGAAACACACTCGTTCGTGGCACATAATCATCTGTTTTTTGTTCATCATAATTTAATCAACTATTAGTTGCTAAAAAATCGTTCATCCCGATTCGGAACTATGGGTTCGGCATTCAGTAGTGTAATGTCACTAATCTCGCTTCTCACATTATTCCCGTTCCATTTCTGTATGTAATTTGTGAAACTTTTCTACCCGTCGTGTGCATCCATGTGTGTGTAAATCTGTGTACGTATGTACGAAACCAAAAGGACCAACTATCGCTTCGGTACCTTCCCCGAGATGGTGGATGCGTCCGGATCAGCCATGATGGGCTACGCGATGGGACCGCAACCGACGACGGCGGCGACGACGCCCGGAGCTGCGCCACGTCATACGTAGAGAGCTTACATGGACCGGAGGATAGTATTATCATTTGATCCATCATTCTTCACTATGTGGGATGACGTTTATTCGGGACTCCACTTTAAAAAAATATCTGCAGAAGCTTCTCTCATACGAGCCAAAGCGTACATTGGTTATGAATTGTTAGATGTTTGTGTTTTGCTAGAAGTGTATAGTTTTTTTTTTGGAATTGAGGAATAAGTTGACACCATTCGTGCTTATTGTAGTAATACTTAATGTGATACGATGTAATTTTTAGGATGATTGATTGTTATGTATTTATCTATTAGTCTAATTAATAACAAATGTCAAAAAAGTTTCCAAATTTTAGATATTTTAACATACAAAGTAGTGATAAGTTGTGAGAAATGTAAAAGGCTTACTAATGAACAGGCTTTCGTATTGAACATACTTATGATTTCAAAGTAGAAGACTGTAAGGTACACCGGGGCAAGTTGAAACGCGCGGGGAAGTTGAAACGGTAAGTGAATTTCTTCGCGGAAGTGAATATTCACTGTAATTATTTTTGAGACGCATTGTGTACTACCCCAAGCTACTAGATTAGAAATAATCTTAGTGATTATACCGCTAAGAGTTACACCTACCGTTTCAACTTCCCCACGCGTTTCAACTTGCCCCGGTGTATCTTGTAATTGTTTTACCACTCGAATAACTAACGGTATTCTTTCGTCCATCATCTTATGAGTTATGAGTCAAATGACCAAATGTACTAGGAGGACTTGCGATGCGCTGTGAAATTTAACTAAATCCTAAAGAGAATCGCCAACCTCGTTGAAGCATACTGCGAAGCATTCAAACCAGGCTCAAGCTGTCTGTATTCATTCAAGAGGTCTATCTGATGAGCACAGAAACCACATACAAGCTTTTTGTAAACAAACCTTCTTATGCCATTTTCTCGCCAACCGAAGGTCATCCACGCAACCCATTAACATCACCGGGTAGGGGAAACTTTCCCCTTCCCGATGATGTTGTTGGTTTGCGTGGATGACCTTCGGTTGGCGAGAAAAGGGCATGCAAATGTTTGTTTACAAAAAGCTTGTATGCCCTTTTCACACGTGGCTCTTGATTTGGCTTAAAAATCATTGAAATGACATAACATTTTTTTTCTTGATTTGTTTTCCGTCGATCTTGTTTGTGGTGCTGAGCACCAATGCTCCCAACGCCAGGGAGGCAGCTCCCACACCTGGATCCTACCTATTGACCCATCAACTCATGAACCGGGGACCAACGGCTTTACTTCCCTTGATCGGATCAGAGATGTTATGCCTCAGAACATCCCGGCGGCGCCGACACGCTTACCAATACACCACCGGCACTGCTGAATGGTGTAACTGAACTTCTCTATTTTTTTTACTTTCCCTTAAGGGCATTCGAACATCATCTCAAAGATTTCTGAAACATCTCTGGATAGCCTTTGAAAAATATCAACCGAACTGAACTTCAGTGGTCCAGCTTTAGATGGTTTGATTTTCTTCTAGATGAAAATTACATTCCAAAACCAATTAAACTCAAATTTAAGTGCTTAGTAATAGCACTTTATTGCTTTACTATGGACGAATTGCACGCCAACTCTAACGAAACTTTGTGGATGTACTTAAGCAACTTTGCATATTTGTTTTCCTTGAAAAAAAAACTACAAGGGACAGCCCTATGGGGTTGGACGCAATGTTGCCGTAGGACTACGTGGTCTGATATAATAAATCTTATTTGTTAACTACAGCATTGTGATTTGTGTAGGAATATGAATTTTAGCGAGGTTCTCTCTGTTTATACTCCTTAGTGTGACGCGCTTGACATAGATGGCCCACAGCGACTCACTGATTCCGATTAATAGCGGTGCGGCTTCTTCCTCCTTCTATGGATGCTCATGTGGGCTGCAGCTCGCTGCTTGCAGGCAGCCTTTCATTGTGTACAGGAGAACACCACCACTCACCACGCGGTGATTGAATAAACACCGTTTGGTGAGACCGGATGGAATTCAACTTTGAAATCTGTGATAGGGAAAACGCGTTTCAGCACGCAATTGATGATAACTTTAATTATCATAGCAACAGTTGCACATTCGTGCAATTTTCAATAGTGACATTTTGAAAAGTGATAAAGTCTTAAATTAAACAGATGCGTAGAAATATTTCTGATCGATTGGTGATGAAATGATTGAAATCGGTTTAGGGGCAGCTAAGTTATTAACGTTCAAATTCTTTCATAATTTTGTTACATAATACATTTTCGGTTTTCACAAAGTGTACCCCCATATAGAAATCGCAGACGTAGTCCTATCTTTGATAATGCGGGTAACTTCGATAGTATAATGTAAAGATTAAATTTACTCGCTGCACTTTTTTTCCAAATTAGAAACTTTGGTTCCATATTGTAGCTTAGGGTGTTTCCGTTGATATCGTGTATAGTTTTTATATAGTATGAGTTACATATTTTACAAACATTAAAAAACCATTTTCGTGTTTTCGCCTGTTTGAAAAAGCACTCAAACCATCTCTTATGAAATGTATTTCCGATATAGCCATCACAAATTCAATGTTGTATTCTTATTGCTTATGATGTTTTCTGATTATATACCTACTCATTCAAAGTTTTATATTTATAGAACTAAATTTTTTGTGTTTCACCCATTTTTTTCTACATTCATCGATAATGCTCGGTAACCTCAAATAAAAAAAACTGAAGTTCGGTCACAAAACTAAAAAAAAATAGTGCAAATGCTTTAAATTCCGTTAAACATATTACTAACGAATTGACTCTTGGATCCTCAGTACTTGTTTAACAACATGAAAAACATTCATTGCTGTAAAAACTATTTAGAATATACTTTAAAAAACTATCAATGTTACCCCGTTTTACGGTGCCATTAAAAAAGGCCGAATAACTTTCATAAAAAAAATATTAAAAAATTTAAGATTTACATTGAAAAAAAAAATCTGTAAAATTAATAAAAAGTGATATTCCCCAAAAAAATAATTTCTTAAAATAATGATTTTTTATGGAACGACAGCTCAGTTATCTACAAGTCGTCTACATTGCAAGATGGGCTCTTTTATAGGAAAAAAGTTATTTTAATAGTTAATAATAACTTTACTCTATATTGAAAAAAAAATCTTCACAGAATAGTGACGGCTTAGCCTATTTAAGGTACTTTGTATATTTGTTTTTTCTACAACAAAGTCTAGAAGAATAGTGAATAATGATTTTTTAAACACATCTAAACAGTGCACAGTGGTCCAGAATTCAGATTTAGCTGGAAGGATATGTTTTGAGCCTGAAATTTAAACTTTAGACTAAAAGTGTCTTCTACAAAGTTGTTCCTTATAGCTAGGCCCTCATTTTTATGGCAATGAATTCTAGGGTGGTTCTTATTATCATTGAAATCAAAAATCTAATTTTTTTGTTTGAAGAAATTAAGGTATACATTCTTTAGCAAAGTTATAGCTAAGCTAATTTCAAGCAACGTTGTTGAAAAAAACTTTTTTGTACCTCTTAAATTGATCAATTTAGAGCTATTTTCTTGAATTGAGTTAGGGTGCCTCTAAAAAACAGTTGTTTTACTCTTGTTTTCTTATTTCAAATTTATCGGCAAAGGTGTCTTCAAATAACTTTTAGATCTTCAGAAAGTGCAATTTTTTGCTGCGCAGAACTTGTCGATATCTTTCGCCGATCAAGAGTTATTGAAGTTTTTCTACTAAAAATATTCCCTTTTCAAATGTTAATATCTCTGGTTGGGGCGAGGGGGTCAACACATCTTAATCTCAATTCTAAATTCTCGAAAGATCTCGCACTAGCGAATCAATCTTCGAAAAATCTTCAATCATTTCTCGCATCATCTTTTTGCAGGAAATCTTCAGAATCGTCATCAATCCTCTTTCTATCTACTCAGCGTGCGCGCAGCTAGCCACGGCAAAACACAATCTTTCCTACATCGTAGATAGAGTCACCCCCCTCGGGTTGGGGCAAACAAAAAAAAAAACAGTTTTTTACTGCATTTGAAAGGGCGTATGTAATTCTCAAGAATATGAACAACATGCAAGAGGCATGTTATTTTTTAAGCTCGTGTTAAAGCAATTTGAATGTATTCTTTTTTTTGCTATAATTGGTATATCTATCCTATATGTTCCAACTAGCTGAGTGTGCCCGGCTTTGCTCGGGATTCAATTTTAGCTTGAGTTTATGCGCCAATTTAAAAAAAAATGCTATATTGTACGTAGCCCTCCCCCTCTTATCTAAGGGGCTACCCCCTATGACCTCCGCATGCCAAATTTGGTTCCATTTGCTTGATTAGTTCTCGAGTTATGCAGAAATTTCTGTTTCATTTGTCTCGAATCATCATAAGAACCTTTCCCGGCCCCAAAAACCCCTGCATACAAATTTTCACGCCGATCGGTTCAGTAGTTTCAGAGTCTATAAGGTACAGACAGACAGACAGAAATTCATTTTTATACATATAGATAGATATAGAGCCTAACTATAAGGAACAACTTTGTAGAATACACTTTTTGTCTAAAATTTCAATTTCAGGCTCAAAACTTATCCTTCCAGCTGAGTCTGAGGATGAATTGTAGAAATTTGTGCGAAAATCTATAAAACAAACTAAAATACAAATATTCTTTTACTAAAAAAATCAATTTAAAATTAAAAGTGATTTTTCTCAAAAATATAATTTTTGAAAATAATAATAAAAATTCTAGAAACAGTTCAGACAGTTCCAATAGGGTAAAGCGCTGCTACGTCGTAATCGCCTATCGAGCAGAAAACATCAATAATATCAATGATTTCACCATTCACAAATCAATTATACGTTCGCTCCGATGCGTTAGTCCCTTACAACACAAAGCCTATTAGAGAGTATAGTATGAATATTTACACTCATTGTTCTCAAAAGCAAAAGAAGCACTCCTTGTGAATCCATTATTTTTTTCTGGTTTCATCTGTGGATTCGTGATTCAATGCATTTGGACGGAATTGAAACTCGTAGGACGCATCAAAATTAACAATATCTCAACAATTTGTGACTTTCTATCAAATCCAACTAGGGGTTTGAATCTAATTTCCGTCCTACTAAGCATAACCCACACTTAACCTCTCTTTTTCGAACGGATATTAACTCAAAAATGGAGTGACTATACTTCATGATCACTTCAAAATTTATTTACCTTTCCGTTGGATTTGATAAAAAGTCACAAACTATTGAAATATTGTAAGAAATCTAACACTGCTTCTTGATTGCAAATTCGTTGTACGAGTTTCAATCCCGTCCTAACGCATTGAAACGCCATTGGTTTTTCTAGGTTTTTCTCGAGGGGGCTGACTCTATCTACGATGCAGAAAAGATTGTGTTTTGCTGTGGTTAACTGCTCGTACGCTGAGTAGATAGAAAGAAGATTGATGACGATTCTAAAGATTTCCTGCAAAAAGGTGATGCGCGATGCAAGTAGATGCGACAAATGAAAGAAGATTTTTCGAAGATTGATTCGCTAGTGTGAGATTTGTTGAGCATCTAAACTTGAGATTTAGATGTGTCGCGCCCCTCGGTTTTTCTTCGTTCTACGAATGAAGACAGAAAAATGGATTTGTTAGGAGCGCTTCTTTTGATTTGTGAACAATGAGTTTAAATCTATACAGAGCTGGAAAAAGGGCCTATCTGCTTTGATCGATTCTCTTCATCGACTTTCTCTTTCGTTAATAACTCAGCTGCAACAACAATTCCTGTTGTATTTGACGATATGGACGATAGATGAAAACCTCCTTTATCAATCTCTGTGGCAAAATTAGCACGAAGACTGTTTGCATAGCTGTGGTTATCAAAAGAGAAACTCGATGAAGAGAATCGATCAAAGCAGATAGGCCATTTTTCCAGCTCTGTATAGAAATATTCATACAACGCACTCGAATAAGCTTTGTCTTGTAGGTTCATAACTAATCGAAACAAACGTATCATTGATTTGTGTACGGTGAAATCATGGATATTATTGATGATTTCTGCTCGATAGAACGGAAATGGGCGATTACGACGAAGTAGCGCTCTACCCTATACGTATGGAAAGGTAAATAAATTGCGAAGTCATCCATAGTATAATCTCTCCATTGTTTTTGTTCATATCCGTTCGAAAAAGAGAAGCATCTTAGTAGGACGAACATGATCAAAACCCTATCTACAATTCGTACATACATTGCAAGATGGGCACAAGGGTGGGTCACCGTTATAAGGAAAAACGCAAACTACGCCTTACCAAGCGAGAACAACACTTTTTTGGGTTCCATGTTTGGTCCCAAACAACTGTGCTAAATTTTGTTAAGACTGGTTGTAACCCGGCCTTTTTGCAGCACAATTTTACTGGAACCATGCAACTAACCATGTACAAATATAGTCCAGGAAGTGCCAAACAACTTTGCCAAAGGATATACACACTTAAATTTGTTAACCGAGATTCCAACAGCCGAGTAGTTCTGCAATTTATCTTGCTGAGATTCTGTAAAACAATTGCCGAGACTCAGATAACAAATATCATTTTGCTGAGATATCAGCTAACAACAGATATTTTGCAGATATATCAGCAAAAGTAAATGCCGAGGTAATCGGCTATTGGAGATTTTACCGAGCTAGATTAAGTGTGTACGGTGCTAGAATGTCTCTACCAAAAGTTATAACTCCGGAGTGATTTGAGATTTGGGCATAGTTGCTTTTGTAAACAAAGAAGTCAATTGCAGATTTCTCTTAAATTTCATTTCAATCTCATAAACAAACTATACCAACTGATAGAGGAACCATTCTTCTACCTCCTAGCGTTATTAGTTTCCGAGATTGAGCTTTTATTCGCGAGAAATCAGTGATTGATGTTTTGTTTACAAATGCAATTATGCCCAAATCTCAAATCACTCCGGAACTGTTCAAATACGTATGGCTTGATTTAAATGTCAAAAATAACTTTTTCTGCCAACACTGCCATTGAACATACCATATCGATAAGATAAGAAAACTAATTTCAAGAAGTTATTTCAGTTTGAAACTTAACTTCTATTGATATGAGTGAGGGGGCGTGGGAGGATGTAGTAAGCCCCTCCCCCGACTCTAACTACGCATATGATATATGATATATTGTTTTTGAATAATTCATCTGCACATACCAAATCGATAAGATAAGAAACTCCGAAATTATTTCACTTTGGAATCTGACTTCTATTGGTACATCGGCAGTGTTGGCAGAAAAACTGATTTTTGGCATTTAATTCGAAACAT